GAAAAACACTCTATAACTGCATATTTCTGGGCGGGAAAAATTGAACGATCGCGGCGATTAATCGCAGCGGTTTCGATTTTACACGTTGGGTCGTCAACTCGGTGGGAAATTACAGCAGGGGTTGGAAATTTATCAGCGGCTGAGCACGTTTGCACCTAAGTTACTTGGCGTCGAGCTGCCAGTCGATGTGTGTTAGCGCGTTACGAAATAAATGCCCGCAGTTTACCTTTGGGTCGAGTTACAAACGATCCTCGGCATCGGAATTACAGTTCAGAGTGCGATTAAATTATTTCGACTCGCTGGACGTTTCCCCGATCCCCTGGAAAAGCTTATTTAGTCGGTAAATCCGGGCGCGCGGCGAGAATAAACGTCGCTGACAAAAACAGCGTGCCGGCGCGCGTGTACGCTCCGCGAAATTGAGTTACCACCGCCTCGTTATTCCCGTGAGACTCGAAATAAAGTGGCGGGGACATCCGCAAGGATTGAGTTACCGTCCACTTAATTGACCGCCCGCAGGAACGAGAAGAGGACACTGATTGACAGCGAGATGCAGCTGTCATCGAGGCTAACCTCGAAGGAGGGTGATCGCGCACGGTTTAATTGGTCTTTAGCAGCGGAATCCCGGGCTCGGCCATCAGGATGGGGAAGAAATTTGGAAGGGAATGCAGCTGTCCCGTCGCTTTGCCATGACCACATTTCTTTGGCACTGATTAGGATCCTGGCTTTGGAGGACGCGTGGTACACAGTGTGTTTAAATTTACTTTAAATACCTGGTGTGCTGATTGAAACTAGCACATTTTCAAAGCCAGGAAGCTTGAAAAAGAAGAGACAGTCGGATATTGACAGAGTTTTGGTAAGTGTTACTCGAAAAATGAGTTTGACAAATTTTGGAAAATTTTTGAGAGTGGATATCTCGTGTACCTTAGTCGGTAGACGAACTGCCATTGTATTTTTAAAATTAAAATTTAAAATACACAAATTCCGAATGTAGTAGTTTGAGAGAGAACTAGCTAGCCTAAGATCTAGCAACAAGTATTTTCCATGAAAAGACAGGGTGGACAATAGCTCGAGACACCTTTGACGATCAGCCAGCCAATTTAAGGCGATCTGGAAATCCAGTTTGGGCATGAAAGGTGCAACGTGACACCATAATCCCCGAACGTAGAGGAAAGCAATAACTCGGCCGATTCGGTGACGCAGCGCGACGCCTGGTAACGTCACCGACGTCGAATTTCTCGGATTACATAAACCCAAATAATCCCGTGAGTCATTCTAATTCTGGTTCCATCGGGATTGCACCGTTGCCCTCCACCTTCCTCTTCCTCGCCGGTTCGCCGTCGCATCCGTTCGTTCTTTTGCCCCTTTTCGTCCATGTCCTGAGCGTCGCGTCTTTCTTGCCCGACCGTCTGCCGTATAAATAGCCATGGCACGAGTGTCGTCTCGGACACACACGGTGGCCCACTTTCCCACCTTAACACTCGAAATTAGACAACTTCCACGACCACGGTATCTCGCATTCCGTCGCGGAGAACCATCCCTCTGTGCCACTAGTTCTACCCCCTAAAATCCTATATTTCTTCGTCGTGCAGGTACGTACAGGTTGTACATAGCAACGCTATAGGTACCCTTGGATTCCTTGGAATACCTTTTTCCGAAGTTAATCCCACTTTGACACTCGAAATTAGACAACTTCTACGACCACGGTATCTCGCACTCCGTTACAATCCAACCCTCTGTGCGACAGGGTTCTACCCCTAAAATTCTAGATTTCTTTGTCCTACAACCTGGGTAACGACGTTCGAAGTAAGTAGACTCGAAGGTACACGCTGTGGGTACCCTTGGGTACCTTTGGATGCCGTTCATCCAAAGAGAACGCATCGCCATCCGGCACTAAATCTCGGGAAGAGCGAAAAAGGGGTAGATTCCAGATGAGAAATATCGATTTCGGGTATTTGATAGTCTCCAAACTCTTTCCTTGCACTGTACGGAAACTGAATTCTACGTTTCTTCGTAGAATAAGCTGTAAAATTGGCGGAAAAAGGACAAAGAAACAGCGACGATGGATTATGTCCTGAATAGGTGCATGCTTGGAAATAAAAGCCAGCGCAAGAACCCGTGGTATCTCCGTACGAGTAAGAGCACAAAGAATTATATGCCCCAGGTGTAACATGCTTTTCCCCCTAATTGTAACACGGTAAGGTACATTTAAGGCCAGGACGCAACGAGGGAGGCAATTCGGAAAGGGCTGTAGCGAGTTTCATAACACGAGCCGTACTAGGGCCAGGAAATAATGCAAATGGTTGGAAAGATCCTGGTAATTGAGTGAACGGGTAGAACAAGTGCACGGAGCAAGTAGAACACGCGAAACGGGATGATCCTTCGCGGTAGAACGACTGGACCGCGTCTTCAACTCTTGGCAAGAATAGTTTGCGTACTTTTGTCTCGCTCACTCTGTCGGGTCTACCAGAGTCTATCCTTTTTATTCATTTATCGCACCACCTGGTCCAGTTTGCAGTGCTTTTCAGGCTTGTGATAGACATTATTACAGAATCTGATATGCCTTATCAATACGAGTTCCGATCACTAATGAGATCTTACAATTTGGGATATTATAATAATAAAAGACACTTATGATATAATAACAATATAAGACACTTGGGATATAATAATAACATAAGACACAAGACAGTAAGACATTTATATTGGGACTATTAGAGCTAACAGACTAGGTCTGGATCATGAGACCTCTGGAAAAGATGTTTATACGAATAGAACCCAGGAAATCACTTGATAGCTGATGACTCGAGATCGAGAAGCAACTCGAGATTGCTTCATAAATAGGACTCTTGTCTAGCAAGAGAACCCACGGTTCCTACCCTAGAACCACAATAGGCAATGCTGTAAAATCTATAACATATAATTGACATATCTTTGATACATTTTGCTAAATTTGGTAATGTGGCGACCACTTTATACTCAGCACCAGAGGGATTCGAGGGAGTTTGAGGTTTCTCGAAAGTACTCAGCGAGCTCTCTGCTTCCTACAAATAGGATTTCCTGACCTGCCACTAATATTCCGCTAGGGAGCCTTACTGACGAGTACACTGCCAGGCCCAGAACCCTTTCCTCTCTCGCACACGCTCCTTGCACATACTAAATGGCAATACTTAACCAAACTACTCTCGAAAACTACCGAAACATCTTGTACTATGAATCATAAACCCCATAGAATGCCAACTGCCGCGCATCGATTTACGAATAAGTGTCCTGTCTTCGCAACAAAATTCAGAAAAAGATTCCGGACGAGATAAATAAACAGGTCGATATCTCGCCACGTGAAAAGCGGTCCATGAAGGTCCAGCAGTTCTCCAGGCTGAATGCAGTTTCCAACGCGACACGAAGTTCTCTCATATCGCCACGTAATAATGGTGTCAGACAGATCCGATCTGACGGATCGCGTCCGCGGAACCGGCCGATCTCGCTGCTGCCGCGATCGAACTGTCGCTCGACTTCCACCGCCCTAGATCTCTCGTTCACGGTCCATTTTTACGGGACAACGACGCCCGACGGCGCGTCGTCGACGTGCCTCTACACGGTCGCACGAGTAATGAGAATTGTTACACTTCTGTCGCGAGTTTGCAGTCAGGACCGCACGAAGTCGTGGCGCCACGAGGCGAGTTCACAGTAGATTGTGCTCTTCCTGATCAGACGAAGATATTTTACTTATCACGTGTTAAAAATATTATTATTAACAATCAAAGGGTCTGCTAGATAGTCAGATTGCAGTTGATTGTACCCTTCGTGATCGGACGGTGATATTTTACTGGTCACAATAGGACATGTCCTTTGTTCTTGATATTTTCAATCGCATAATTATAAAATTAAACGAAACCCTGCCATTTTCTTAATACAAAATACTTCTTTATGGCTAGACGAGGAAATTACACTGGTCACGTGTTAAAAATGTTATTATGTACAATGAAAGGTTCTGTTAGATAGTCAAATTGCAGTAGATTGTACCCTTCGTGATCGGACGATGATATTTTACTGGTCGCAATAGGATATGTCCTTTGTTCTTGGTAGTTTCAATCGCATAATTGTAAAATTAAACAAGACCTTGCCATTTTATAAATACAAAATACTTCTTTATGGCTAGACGAGGAAATTACACTGGTCACGTGTTAAGAAGATTATTATGTGCAATCAGAAGTTCTATTAGATAGTCAGATTGCAGTAGATTGTGTCCCTCATAAAACAATGATATTTTACTAGTCAAAATCAGACATGTTCTTTATTCTTGACATTTTCAATGGCATAATTATAAAATTTAACGAATTCCTGCCATTTATTAAATACGAAATACTTCTTCATGGCCAAATGAGGATATTTTCCTGGTCACGTGTTAAAAATATTATTATGTATAATAAAAGGTTCTGTTAGGTAGCCAGTTTACAGTAGATTATACCCTTCGTGATCAGATAATGATATTTTACTAGTCACAGTCAGACATGTCCTTTGTTCTTGGTATTTTCAATCGCATAATTGTAAAATTAAAAGAAACCCTGCCATTTTTTAAATACGAAATACCTGTTCGTGGCTGGACGAGGAAATTTTACAGGTCACAACGTGTTAAAAATATTATTATGACAATAAAAGGTTCAGTTAGATAGCCATTTTACAATAAATTGCATCCTTCGTGATCGGATAATGATATTTTACTAATCACAGTCAGACATGTCCTTTGTTCTTGGTATTTTCGATCGCATTAAATACGAAACACCCAAATAGTCATATTATAATTCGAACAATACCAAAACTGTGTGCAACCTCGGAAGTATAAAGTACCCACGTTACAGAGCACTGGGACAATATTTTCCTCTAAAAATAGACATGTTGAAATTTATTATTTACCGGAAATCATCCGCCCCTGAAGATCCTATCAGACCCACCTATGGTATAAAACAGGTAGGACGAACGGATACTCATTCAAACAACCAACGATGGTGAAACTACGTGTATCCGTTATAACAATATTGTTCGCGACTCTATGTGTCAACTTGGTGGAACCACTAGTGAAAGAGAGTCTGTCCAAATTTTTGGGATCTTTAACAGGAATTAAAAAGTAAATCTCATTGACTTGAACCCTTAATTCGACTGTCACTAGCAGACAAATTCTACCTGTAATTGTATAATTACAGAGTAAGAATCCCTGAATTGCTGAACCAATTGTGCAACGAGTCCCAAGGATCAGACACGGTTCGTCGAGATGCGTGCTACGGGTGCTTCTTCAGGACCACCAGCCAAGCCCTTGGCTACCCTCTGCTGGTGGCAATGTCTAACTGCGCTGATATTTATCTCAATAACACCGATTACGGTCACTGTCAACAGTACCTGAACGTAAGCTGCTCAATCTAGACTTCATCCTGCAATTTCGATCAACTATCCTGACCTTTCCTTGACCAAATTACAAGACCCATCACTGGTCGTATTTTTGCAAAACAGAACGCCACCAGCACGCCGGACACAAGAACGAACCCCATGACAGTGTATTGCACGTTCCTCGAGTGCGTTCGCCAGGTGAACAAGGACAACCTGGTAAGTAGCCAATTAAAATTTCTTCGCATGCTTTCGTGCAACGAGGAGCGCTATTGAACGACCGCGCACCTGCTAGCTTATTCCAACCTGTCAGATCCCATCGGCTTGTTGACCAGTGTACATAGAAACCTAAAGAGAAAGCAATTGTAAATACCGAACAGGACGCGCGACGAGTCAAATCAAGATCGTCGAGTCTGAGAATGATTTCCAGGGATGTGTCGTTATTTTTCTTGAGCCTGTACAAGAAATTAGCCAGAGCTGTTTGCGTGATACGGGAACAGGACCCGGAGTCGAACACCGTGAGGCCAGGAGCGGAACCTGTCAGCCCGAGAAGCCAAAATTGATTACTTAACAGGAATATACTGTACATAGACACCTGTATAAAGATCGTGTACATATCGTTCTGTATTTTCAACCGTCTGCAACGCGAAACCCAGTGAGTATCTTCTGTACATATACACATTGCTGTATCCGTGATCAATTGTACATATCTATGCTTCTGCTCTTTATAAAAGCATCGTTTGTCTTCGGAACGCACCTCTTTGCCAATAATTGAGCACCGATCTCGATGCATCGTTAGATGAAAATTGGTCAACCCTTCAACGACTGCAAAAATTTATACGAGTGTCAAGTTGAAAATTAACACTAGATCTAGCAATCTGGATCGAGTACGTAATTATACGTAATTAATACGTAATTACGACCATGTTGGAATAAAAATCGATATTAATTTTCGATTAGCCAGAAGTATATGATACTCTCAATGGTGAAGATGAAAAGTTGAAGACAAGTCGTTTTCTTTTGATGACTCTTGATTAGGGGATCTTTCCCTTTGATAGTTCTAGTGTTAATGCAATTATTAAATGATGAGTTAGTATAAATAACCTGCATGGGACACTATTTTACAATAATCAAAATTCGAAAAATTCGAATAATAATAATTCATAACATATTAATATCAAAATAGTGTAATATCAAATTAGTATAAATAAGCTGCATAGGACGGTATTTTATAATGATAAAAAATCGAAAAATTAAAATCTATAATTCACAGCATATTAATATCAAAATACTGATGAAAGTACGTAGATTTTAATAATACCTATAATTTTTACCAATTTTTTAAATTATTTGCCAAAATCGTGCTCAAAATTTCTCCAATTTTGGTGCCATTTGCTAAACGTTTATCCTATTAATTTCTTGCTGTGCGATTATTTTTATAGTAACCTTTCCTCATCGATCGATGCATTTTTGAATTTCCTTAATAAAAGTATAAGGGATCTCAGCTGGAAAATCAAGCAGCTCGGGAATTATGAATTTTGTCCCAATTACTCGACACACTGTGCGACGTATGAGAAACGTGACATGTCTGTGTCACGAGTACGCAGACGTTGAGGGGTTTAATGTCTCACGGTTGCCTAAAAACACCGGCAAAGAAATTTCACCGCCGCAAAACTCGTATCCCGAATAGACACAATGGCTCACCGACAAACGTTCCGCTTCGCGCAGCTCCGGGAATGCGTCGGCGAGGCCATACGAATGTTCCCGAATTTCACCCTCACGGACGTGAAACTAGCCCAATTATACGTGAACACCACCGCGTGCGTGCTGGCGAAAACCCGTTGCTCCCAAATGAACCCTATAACCGGGGAATTTCAAGAAGACGATCTGGCTAATAAGCTGCACATACCCACGGTCAACTCGATGCTGGTCAACACGGATTACAACATCAACATCGTCCAGCTGCCGTTCCATTACAGTTCCATCGACGTTTGCGCGAAATACAGAAACTACGAGCAGGCCAGCTGGCCCCGTGTCGGTTGTTGATCCGAAAATTCTCAGATCTAAACCGGAAATCCGTAAGAAATTATTCACGATTAGCCCTCTTGCCTTATCACTCTTCAGAGACTAGACCAAGCTATTTCTCAGTGCAGGATCATATCGTAATATTGAAATATTAGACCTAATTTAACGGTAAAATCAGCAGTCTCTGTTTCCTACACGCTTCAACACGGTGTGCATAGATAACAGCGATTTGAAGAGATTTCGAATATTAATTCAGCTAAAAGCAGGTATACGTTTGTAGCAACTGGAACGACAAGAAATCCAAGACCTTCCAGCGTTAATAATCTCAAGTATGACGAATTGAAGCCAAAGCGAGAGTTCAAACTAACACAAGCTCGCGCTGAAGCTGTAACCTCTGACACGAGCATGACTAGATGTTATAAGGCAAGAGGCTAACACGATCGCGTCACTCGTATCTGGGTGACAGCCGAGTTTCCGGGACCACGTCACCCACGCACGAGTAACCGGTTCGTTTAAAAATTCAGAATTTTCATTTTTAACGCGCTGAAACGATGAAATACGACGATTTCTAATAGAAGAACGAGCTTTTAAAGAGCAAGACGGGATCCGCTGTCTGCCAAGAAGCGTAACCAATTTACACTCGCGATCAGAGACGGAGGCGTTAGAAGAGATTCGGAATTGTCCTTTATTACGAAGCGATTCGTAATCGTAATGTCTAATCGGTTGGTTTAATAGAGACGAATATAACGGTAGTGAAATAAATTCATAGGGAGATAAAGAAACCATTCTGTTCCTATTACGCATGAGTACCCCGCGAGCCTAGAACGAGTACAGTGAACGGCTGGAGGAGCCTTGTTCTGACGTTCGATCCGAGAATAGCTGGAAAAGAAAGGTTTCCTTGTTAAGAGTTTTATAGCCGACCTGGTCAGATCTATAATTAACATTTTCTGCAAGTCGATCGTTCAATTTTTCCCTTTGAGTAATCATCCTTCGGACCTGTTCCCCGTCTGAATTAATCGCGCTGGCCTGCCGTTCGATCTCGTAAAACCGTCATATCTTTCGTGCAATGTCTCGTATCGGGCAATTTTTCCCGACACTTTAACGATTCCTACCTGTACCCGTGGACAAACTGGATCGGGAGCTTAGGCTCGAATATCGGTTACACGCGGTCACCACGCTGGCAAAGATGGCGGCCGCGGAACGGCCCAATACGATTTCCATTTTACGAGTTAAGTTAATAACGGGCACACAGGGAGCCGCGATGACACGGAAAGATAGCGGATAATAGTGACTAAGAATGACACGAGTCATCTAAGTGCAAATCGCGCGACAGCGATCGTGAATCATCGCTCCCGACCGACCGTCTAACAGGAATGCATAAATCTAGCCATCGACGACATCTGAAACGGACCCGCATCCCGGCTAGTCCCACTTTTTCTCTTCGCGGGCCTCGAGAAAACGTCCACTGTCATCTCTTCCGCGGGGCCATTTCCATAGGCCTTCATCCTTCACTTGGGATCCCTGTTAGGAACAGTGATAGCGCTGGAAAATATGGTCTTGTGGGAACTGCCTGTCAATCGTCGTTAGCCGCCATTTCTCTCAATTTTTGATAATCTTGGAGAACTCTGGACCATTGTCCATTTCTTAATTATAGAAAATGGAGTACCAACGTTAGAAATATTGAGTCGAAGTGACTTGATCCAGGCACTTCCTAATTATTAATTATTAATGTATCTAGTGCTCTAAAAGGTGTCAAAGGTGCAAGAATAAATGCAGTATTTTCCTGCAGCGATATTCTCGATCTGAAGATAATATGTGTGATTCGAAATCTTCAGGAATCGACGAAATAACGTGAAGACTGAGACATAGAGAGCAATTGCGAAGAACGTCCATCGCCTGACGGAAAATGACACCACGTAGGATGTCAAGAGCCGATATACGCTCTAGAACGGATGTACACAATGTCTCGGAAACGGGGACTGAAATTATCTCGAGGGAATCGTAATAACTGCGGGAAAGAAGGCACGAATAATGGATAAACGTAAGTAAATGGGCGAACGTACCGTGGTCGATTCATCGAGGCCGGGGACCGGATGCGGACGCTAAAAGAACGTTTACGATATTACTTATCCGTGAAATGATCGTAACGAAGCAGCCAATAAACAAGATTACGACAAATTCTACGGTGGGAAAATGAGAAACGACCATGAGAGCCGCGTGGATCCGTGGGACTTTCCAGACCAAAAATTTCCTTCTCTGACTATACTCCCAGCCTCATAGAGCATAACACCTCAGCCTAATGTGCCTCGCAACAAATGCGGCTCTATTAATCACTCCGTTTTCTCCATCCCGAGATGAGAACAAGGATTAAACATTTTCCGAACTTTTATCAACGTCTGTATCTCCACTTCCTGTTTACAACCACTCGTTCTTCCTTTCTCATACTCGCATAAATCTCTTTAATATCCAAGCTCCCTAATCTCCTTTCTTAAGCCCCCAATCGAACTTGATACGTGTTATCGCTTATGTCGCACTGTCATCTGCAGGTGTCAAGGCAAATGAATAAAACCAACCAATCTTTTTATTTTATTCCCCTCCTTTTTCTCTGAAATGATGTAAACACGTAAATTTATTAAAAATAATAAGGAATTATAAAGCGAAAAATCGGAAATTGAGCAAATTGGCACGCGAAGGTATCGAAGATATAATGCACCGAAGCCGATATTTACATCTGCTAGCGCGACAGGCCAACACTCGCCAGCAAATATCCGGATATGGTCGGTAATCGGATATTAAAGAATCCGGGCATGATGGTCGGCTGAAAGGGAAGGCCTGGAAGGGAAAAGGCAGTTTCTTT